TTGGCTCTCATTTTTTCCCCTTGTCCCCACCCTCCCTTCACCCCCTCCTCCCCTCCGCACCTTCACACATTTTAATTCCATTTTTACATTTTCTCATGTTTTTTTCCTTTCCCTTATTCCCCTTTCCCTATCCTTCTCACTGTCCCTACACCTTTGGTCCTTTTCTTCCTGTTTCATGTTGCTAATTGTCCCGTTAGGATCTTGAGTACTATTTTAATTTTTCACACTAGAGAAACTATTTGGTATTTGCATATGTGTGACTTATTTATTTCACTTAGGAGTATATCCTCAAAATGTACCCATTTACCTATGAATGAATCTACTTTCTCATTCTTTATGGCTGAGGAGTATTCCATTTAATAGACAAACCACATCTTCTTTATCCAGTTTCCAACTGAAGGGCAGATGGGCTGTTTCCAAGTTTTAGCTATTACAAACTGTGCTGCTACAAATATGGGTGTGCATATATCACTGTGGTATGATTCTTTCAGTTCTTTTGGGAAGATACCCAACAGAGGGATGGCTGGGTCACATGGAACCTCTAATCCTAGTTCTTTGAGGTATCTCCATATTGACTTCCATAGTGGTTGCACCAGTCTGCACTCCCACCAACAATGGAGAAGGGTTCCTTTCTCCCCACAACCGCGCCAGCATTTGTTATTGGTTGATTTCTTGATAGCAGCCATTTGTGGGGTGAGGTGAAATCTCAATGTTGTTTTCATCTGCATCTCTTGAATAACCAGGGATATGGATAAAACCAACTCTTAATACGATAAAATTCCATCTTGGAGCTATACTGTAAGTTTAACAAATTTAGCTATTAAAAATATATTTTAACTCTTAAGTAAATTCCAAGAAATCTCAAGTAGCATCCATAAGTTCTTGGTTTTAAATCTAAAAGTTGCTAGCTGGGTGTGATGATGCATGCCTGTAATCCCAGCCCCCAGGAAGCTGAGGTAGGAGGATCACTGCAAATTCAAGACCAGCCCAAGCTACATAGTTAGTTCAAGACCAGCCTGAACTACATAGCAAGACCCTGGCTCAAAAAGCAAAAACAAACAAACAAACAAAATCTAGAAGTTGCTATGGTTATTTTCAGTTATGTGAGGGCAAAGGTAAAATTTGTTTGGACAACTTATCACATGATTATGGGGAATGACTTATTTTGTTGCTGAGAACCACCAGAACAATGTGTCAGATATTTTTAGGTCTTTTTGGCTGTATGATCCACAGCAAATACCCTCATGTACTTTAGAAAGTTACATGGATATAATTTCTTTGATATAATACCTCTAAAATTTATAGACTTTTTTCTAATTATCTTTTCTGTCCTCATCCTTATCCCATAGTGTTTTTGAAAGGTAGTTGATGTAATAAATGATATATTAAGGAGGGCCGGGGATTTCATTCAGTGGTTCCTCTACCTGCCTCGCAAGCACAAGGTCCCTAGTTCGATCTTTGGTACCCCCCCAAAAAAAGATTAAGGATACAGAGATAACAGCAGGATAAGACCACACTAGGAAGTGACAGAAAAGTGCAGATATATTAGGAAGAAGCTGAAGAAAATTCCAGTTTGTACAGTAAAGATTATCAGTATTTTTCTAATATAAGTAGGACTTTAGGTCAGAGAAATAAACATTTAGACTCAATTGTTGTTTTTAGCAGATTATTTTAATACAGTGGTGGCAAACCTTTGGCACGCGTGTGTTTTTCATTTAAGACAAATGATATTAATATATGAGTTGTTTTTTTTTAAACTAAAACCTCAGTATTCAGGTTGAATCACAGTGTTGGCTCTTTGTGATAAATACGTGGGTTTTGGGTTGCATTGTGGGTGCTCAACTCTGAAAGGTTCGCCATCACTAGTTAGTATATAGAGGAGTGAGTTCTGATTTTTCTGTGAAATTCTGATAACCCTTTGCATCTGAGAATAATGTTTAATGATGTTGAGTCAGAAATCAGAATTTTAGGGGCCGGGGATTTAGCTCAGTGGTTCGGTGGCCTGCCTTGCAAGTGCAAGGACCCAAGTTCAATCCCCATACCAAAAAAAAAAAAAAAAAAGAAA